TTTTATAATGTATACGTAATAAAATCACTTGAGAATTCATACGTATTACAATATATTATGATTACATAAACGATTTTGGCGGCTGCGTATGCTGCGTATAGGCGTTGGAACAATATAAAAAAGTAATGATTGTAGCACAGCCAACTATATCTCGGAAAAACATTTCCGATTTTATAAACGTTGAACAAAAAAAAAGAATTATAAAAAGGGTCAGACGAAAAGCCTTTACCCACATTAACAAAAACACTTCCGTAAGAAAAAGTGGAAGTCAACTTATCGTTATCTACAAACTCTTTTTTTTTTTCTTTTTTTTTTTTTTTTTTGAACGGACCAATATACCTATATCAATATGACAACTGTCAAAGTTATTTATGGGTCAGTTTCTCGTCGGTTCACTATCGGAGCTGATACTACTTGGGCAGAGTTAGAATCTCAACTTAGGACCCTTTTCAAAATCCCGTCTCATGATCAAGTGATTGCTACTTATACCGATGAAGATGGAGATAATGTTGCACTTTCAAGCGATTTAGAACTTGCTGAGGTTCATTCTCAATGTTCGGCTGGTACCGCTATTAAAATCGTTTTGAAAACTAATCCGACCTTGGAGGAAACTGCTGCAGCACTTGAACAAATAAGCCTTGACGATGAAGAACCTTACGAAGCTATTTTATATTCCCATTCTGAGCCTGAAGAGGCTGAGGAACAAGGAACCTGCAAAGAAATATGCGGAGAAGCTTGTGAAGATGTTACTTGTTCCGCAGATGAAGTTCATGAACAAGGACATACAGATGATTGTATTAGCTCTGATCCTGAAATTTACTTTTTCGTTTCTCGTAAACGATCTCATCATGGACCAAGACGTAGTTACTCTGGGTCAGTTAAACTTGAATCTATTGGTGGATCAAACGAATGTCCTTTTGCGGAACGTTTTCGTGGTCATCATGGCAGGGGTTATGGACGTATGCATAGAGTACATAAACATGGTGAAGGAGGTCATCATCACCATCGTGGCCATCGATTCCGCGGTCATAAACAGCATAAGATGCACAAACATGATAAACATGATAAAGGAGATGGATACGAAATAATTGTGAATAAATCAGAAAAAGAACCTGAAATGGATAAATCAGGTCCTAGTGCTGGAGAACATCATGATCAACATATTCATGAACATCATCCGCGTCATCATAGAAAGTGCGATAAGAAAGTGAAATTAAGTTCTAGTGGTGATGAGAGACCCAGACATCATTGCGGGTTTGGACCACGTATTCATGCGCATCCATACTTCCATCATAGGCATGGACATGGACATCATGGACGTCATGGTGATCATGGGGAAATTCCACCTGAAAAAATAGCAGAGAAATTAGAAATTTTGAATGGATTGTCCTTCCCGGCCGAAAACAATGCTCATTATGAAGAATTATTAAAAAGATTTCATGGAAGGATCGGTCCAGTTGTTGAAGCAGTTATTAGGGAACAAAGAAAAAAAGAACCTAAAGAGCCAGAAGATGGTGAACCAGGTGATGATGAAGGTCAAGCGTCAACTTCCCAACCCATGCAAGGAGTTAATTAATCTCCCAATGTCTTATTCTTATCATTAAGAAAACTGTTAAAATATATATATATATTCTATATTTTCATTATCGGTTTATCGTAGTTTATTACTTTAATGTGTTACATATATATATATATATGTATATATATGTATATATATACTGTATACCATTTGATAAATTAGCTGCGATAAACAGTTACTGGTAAATTTTATTTCCATGATAAAAATGATAAAAATATTTTTTTAAAAAAAAAATCAAAAAAAAAACATTTGTATATCCAGATCTTACTTTATATATACATTATATATATATATATATATATTACAAGGGAGGGATTTAGGTTTAAAAGAAGCTGCTTTTAGAATTTTACGATGATCTTTTATTACAGAGACCCTGAAAGATTTCGTTCCGTCATAGATCATTTGTAAATTCTAATTTTTTATATTAGTTTAGTTCTGTTTCGGTTCTTTATATGTATTTGACAGTATACTTTATATTTTTTGAGACAAATAAATGAATGACTAAATAAAAGTAGGTGCAAAATTATCTCCTTGTTTCCTTTTATAAAATTTAAATGTATCTTTTTTGTTAAGTCAAAACTCATAAAAGTATATTAGACATTCAAATAATTAAATATAGCTAACAAGAATGTCATTATATGCGTTACGAACGTATTACCGAACAAATAAAATTGGGAACTGGTATAATGTATATGTACATTCGTATGCACGCACATAGGTAACGATACAAATTATGCATAAATAATATTATTGGATGGAAAATGAATCGATAAATAGAACAGCATACATTTTATTTTAAATATTAAGTTTGTTTATATTTATATTTATATTCTATAAATTATATTTAGCATATTGACACAAAACCAGAATCGGTAACGGTTACATACTACGAATCCATCGTTTTTGTTTTCTATTGGTTGATAACAAAAATTAGGTACTTTAATTGTTACATATAATTCTGTAATTACGTCGGGTACGGAATCACCCCTTGTTTCATTGTAATGATTCACAATTAAATTTCCTTTATTTGGTCGATATGTAAAAAGAAAAAAAAACATATCAAAAGTATATAATTTCGTCATATTTCTTACCATTTTTTACTCTTTTCAGCCGAATCTTTTTTTTTTCTGTAATGTGTTCATTCTTTTATATTACATGCTTAATTTTACGCTGAATAAGTTCGTGATAATATAATTCTTAGTGTTAAAATCTGGCTCTTGCCTCTGTAAACATATAAAGTAGCTGATTCCATTAAAACATAATGGATTATCAAAATTCATCCGACGGTTTTGTTCTACCATACAGCAATAATCTTGCCACAGAATCGTATAATATAGCTTCGCTACGAACTGCAAGAAGGCGTATCATGGCATACGCTGATAATTCTTCTCTTTCGAGGACAATGACAAATCACGAGATAAATCCATTGTCTTTTGTATCGTCGCATGTTACAACACATAATCATGTATATAGCGTGGATGATGATTCAAGGAAAAGTTCTCATACAAGTCTTGCAAGCACTAATGCACATGAGGTTTCTACCCTTAATAGTGATACTCCTTTGATTGATACCTCTAGTTCCACCCCTAATAACAACAATGTTATACATGACAATAATTCCGCTTTAATTTCCCCTTCCGTTCGTTCTTCACGTCAATTTACTCACATTCATAAAAAGAGGCTATCAAGAACTATGCAACATATTTCCTCCTTTATAAAACTCACCGTAAATATTTCTCCAACTATCTCATTTCCTGTTACTATTGAAAAAACATATACGGTCGAAAGGTTGGCCAGGCAAATCGAGGCTGAATATGCTTTTAAATATGGTGGTATTGAAGAAAGATCTATTCATGAACCTCTTGAAGTAGGCCTACTTTATGATGTTAGTATGGTTGCATTGCGATTTCGCGATCTCGTAGGTGATGTTTTAGAACATGGTGATATTGTTAATGTACTTAATATTTATGAAGGTATTTATTATTATTATATATTATATATATTATATATTATTTATTATATATTATTTATTATATATTATTTAATTTAATTTTTTTCAATTTATTTAATTTATTATTTATTATTATTATTTAATTTTTATTTATTTATTTATTTATTTTATTTTATTTTTTTAATAGATTGTGGTAATGATCTCGAATATGCTGATATTGACTTTGAATTCAAAGATTTTGATCTTGATCTTGACAAAGATTTTGTGTTGAATAACTATAGAGAAAGTAGAGAAAATAGAGAAAGTCGCAGGTTCAGCCTACCAATTATTTCTAACAATGATGGTTTACAAACAAATGATAACACCATTCCTTTAAATCAACCTATACATTCACCTACTTCTTTCGTATCTGACTCTCATCTCTCATTAAATCCAATTTCCGTTTCACAAAGCTCTCAATCTAATTTTAGATCTATCCTTTCTAATGTGCTTGCTTTAAATTATTTTCAAAAATTCTCCATTAGAGAATTTTCGGTTGAAAATTTGTTATTTTGGCTTGATATTGAACTTTTCGCTGCTGGAACTTGTGATATAGAAGATAATTACTTTGAAGAACAACAAAGTACCATCATTCATGCAAAATATATCTATTTAACTTATATAGGAGCAAATGCTCCTTTACAAGTTAATCTTAGTGATGAGATAAGAAAAGATATCACTTGGCCATTGGATGATGATTGTATAGTGGAAAGAAATATGTTTGACGAAGCTCAAGAAGCTGTTTATCAATTAATGAAAGGTCATTCTTTTGCGCGTTTTGAATTAAGTCCTGAATGGAAAGAATGTGAAAAGATAAAGATGACTGGTAAAGATTTTTAATTAAACTTTATAATTTACACCGTATAGTCGCGAAAAAATATCGCATATTTTGATGCGTTATTTTATCTACTTGCAAAATTATTTTGAAATATTTGCATTATTTCAAATAATTGGTCAACAATATACATAAATACATATACATATATCAAATCCAATAATACATGTTAATACAAAATGTGTGTTAGACGCAACTATACAGTATATAGATGTATATATACACTAATTAAATAACTAAATACTTTCTAACTTTCAACTTTGATCATATTTATTAAACTTAGACCCTAAAGAATATGAAGATCGTGAAATGACTGAACCACTTGGTTGTTATTTCCGTCCAAATATGTCATTAATGCTTGCCATCACCATGGCACTTGATGATAATTGTAATCCTGCTCCAATTTCTCATCATTATAAAG